TGCTGATTTAGCCTCACCCATGCTAAAAAAGCATCTCTCATCTTGACACAAAACTAACCACTTTTGTCCCTCTATGAACTGACATCACTTAGTGGCCATCATGTGACCCTTATGACATCATCTCAACCAAAGGGAGATAATTGACTTTTGCATCCCTACAATATCTTCTATTGCGACCAGATACATATGAATTATAAAATAGATGAATTTGCCACAGAACCCATCAGAAAACAATACATTTATTTTTTTCTAGAAAACTAAATAAAAAATACTTATAAAATTTTCCTTGAACAACAATGCAATATTTACAACAAAAAGATTATGATAATAAAAACAACAACAACAACAATAGCAATAAACTAGATAAAAGTAGATAATATTACCTACCAACTCTTTAACATTTACTATTCAAAACAATGTATCCAATCTTAATAATATCAAAATAATTAATAATAATAATAATATCAAAATAATTACAACAACATTCAAAACTATTATGGATATAATCAGAACCAAAAAATGTCCAAAATAACAATAATTCTGAAGCAGGCATATATAAAATAAACTGTCACAGCTGTTCCTTTATATATATATATATATATATATATATATATATATATATATATGAAGAAATATACTCTTAAGGTGTGCTATATTTATGGGATAAAGTGCTCAATATCAGAGATAGAGCATGTGTAAATATAAAAGTGAACATTTAAGTCAACACTTAGAGGCAACAGCTGTTTCATGCTAGATGTAATCATCAGACCACCTAATATATATATATATATATATATATATATATATACATATATATATATATATATATATATATATATATATATATTGGACTCTCCTGTTGTTTAGAACCAAAAGCCAAGTTTTGAATTCAGAATTGTCTTTCTTCTAGACTATTTGCCACCCAATACTATAGTCTGTCCTGTTAGTTACCATTATGGCAGTGTGGTGGTATAATAGATAGTGGCTAGGATTGGGGAAACGGAAAGCCAAGTTCGAATTCCAGTCAAATTCTTATTCTGTTCTCACCCCAGATATGGTTAAATTTATATATATATATATATATATATGTATATATATAATGTTTATTTATTATGCACTGTAACATCAGAACATGTACATAACCACTAAAAAACTGTACATCTTGTTTCAACATTAGAAAATTAACACTTCTTCAGGTTGGAAATCAGAGATGTTTCTACAGTAGGATACTGAGAATACTATTGATAGAACATGTGAACAAAGAGGAAATTTTATAGAAAATGAAAGCGAAAAGGGCAATCATACATAAAATAGGCAGGAGAGAGTTGAAATTTCTGCAACACATAATGAGGAATGAAGAATTGAAGAATTTAACACTCATAGGACATTGAAATCAAAAGGGACAGTGGGAAGCAGTAAGTAATATATCTAACAAATTTCTGTAAATGGATGGCAGAACAGGGACTGGGAGTGATAGTAAGAAAACAAATGAGCTTAGAGCTATAAATGCTATAGAGTGACATAATTTCACTTTGAGACATTTTACCTGATGAATACATTTGCTACTTGTGAAATCTATGATACCCATTTGGTAAGAATTAAACAAATTGCACATATCTTGTATTAGGTTTGGAAAACCTTATATTTCAGACCTTTGCTCCAAACTTTATTTCATGTACACATTTAGCACTACAAGAGATAAGAAGTCGTGGAGAGCCATGATCTAACTTCCTGAAGCTCATAACACATAGAAGTAGTGATCTACTGCTCTTATTATAGCCCTGTGATTGACTTAGTTTTAAACCCAAAATATGCTAGTAACACCTTTGACAAATTTAACCTGATGAATATAGTTGCTACTTGTAAAATCTATGATACCCAATTGGTAAGAATGAAGCAAATTGTACAAATCTTACATTATGTTTGAAAAAAGTATATTTCAGACATTTGCTCCAAACTTTATTTCATGTACACATTTATCATTACAATAGATAAGAAGTTGTGGAGAGCCATGATCTCACTTCCTGAAGCTCATAACCCATTTAGTAGTGATCTACAGCCCTAATTATAGCCTTGTGATTGACTTAGCCCAAAATATGCTAGTAACACTTTTGACAAATTTTACCTGTTGAATATAGTTGTTACTTGTAAAATCTATGATACCCAATTGATAAGAATGAAGCAAATTGCACAAATCTTATACTAGATTTGAAAAAAAAGTATATTACAGACCTTTACTCCAACTTTATTTCATGTACACATTTAGCGCTACAAGAGATGGGAAGACATGAAGAACCATGACCACCCACGTTCTGAATTGACATAACATAGGCAAAAAGATTGAAAGAAATCTTTATACAAACAAGTGTCATATCAAAAGAATCCACTTTCGTGAACCAGGGTTCCTGCACGTCACAGTGTATTGCAAACTAGTAAACTGTGTTCTGTTTTCGCGCTCCATTATCAGTTGGCTTATTAACATTTACTGTCTGTGTTTAATAAAGCAGAAATACGGGTTATTTTAGGCTAAATCTTGTTTCAAATTTGAATAATTTACAGCTTGCTTGGTTTTTCTTTCGTTAGGGTCCATTCAACTAGAATAATGTGTATGTATCTTCCCTCATACATATATACATGCCAATATATAAATATATTCAATATGATACACACATATGCGTATACACATTAAACACTTGCAAGTATGTATACATGACAATATATAGACTAAGATAGACACAAGACCCTATACACATAAATGTACTTGTACAATGACATACACGCCAATATATAAACTAAGACACACATATACACATATATGTATAAATTTACTTGTAGACACACATACATGTCAATATATGCATTAAGATATATGCACACCCTACCCATATACACATAAATTTACTTGTAGACACACATACATGTCAATATATGCATTAAGATATATGCATACACATATACACATAAATACACTTGTACACACACATACATACCAATATATGATCTATGATACACACCTGCCCATATACACATAAATTCACTTGTACACACACATACATGCCAATATATGCACTAAGATATACATATACACATACATACCAATATATGCACTAAGATGCATACATATATGTATATACATAAATTCACTTGTACGCCAAATACACATACACACATGAATTCACTTGTATCCATGTATACATGCCAATATATGTACTAAGATAAACACATATATGCATAAATCCACTTTCTGATCTTAGATCCATTAAACAACATTTCTTAGAAAAACATAGCCATGTACATAATATTAGACAGATATTAGTTGATAACACAATAATACTCACACATACACACAGTAAAAAGAACCTTAAAATATTGAAGGCCATCTACATTAAAATAAAGCAACCCACACTCAACAAAATTACATTTCAAGCTAGAGACAACATATTACAATGCATTTAAACACATGGTTGTGCGGATAACATCTCTTTCTCTCATGTGGTCATGTTTGACATCATAGAACTGCATTTATGACTTGTATCTGCTATTCTGTAACCATTATTGTTGCATAGCAAACTTCTATGTAAATATAACAGGATGTCCATATAACCACTCTGATGATGGCTCATGTGAGCTGAAAGCTTAGATTGAGGAACAGCATAATAAAAATATATCCAAATGTTGAATAGTTTTGTCTTTATTTTCTCCTGAAATTAAAGCCCCTATACAAAGCTTAGAACAGCTCATGATCAAACAAAATAGACATTTGTTGTCTGTTATATTTTACAATATATGCTTGAATAAATCTGCTTGTATATATGCATACATTATCATCAACACACCTTCAACTTAGACCTATACATAAGTATAATTCTTGTCACTCCTTCATTCATTTGATCCGGAAATTGTTTGATGGATTATTAACCAGGCTTTGGCAAGGATATATTTAACAGTATGAAATTGAATATTTTAACTATTGCATAGGATTTCCCTTTGAAAAGCATAAATTTCTAGTAATCTATACAGATGATGAAGATGATAAAGAAAAGGCATATGTGAAGATGCCATGATTGCCTAAATCCTAATGGAACATAGCTTTAAAAAAAATAGATATCTAAGTTGTTATGGTTCGGTTCCTTGTACCATGGTCATAGTCCAAGGTAGAACCAATAAAGAAGAACTCAAACACGGATATGGAATAACACAGATATATTACAAACAGGAATATATACAGAGAAGTAGAAAGTGTTAGTATAAACAATCAGGTTTAGTAGAGAGAACAATGTAGTCTCGACCAGTATCACTATTCCAATGTCTTGCAGTAATTGTCTGAACGCGACTCTGTTTCGGACTGCCTCTGACTCGACTGACTGACTCGCTCGCTCTGACTGACTGAGAGACTCCTGACAGACCTCACTCCAGACTTCAGACTGAACTCTCTGCTTCCTCTTGAGGCGCAGTATTTATTATGTATGGAATAGTCCATTATGTTATTATGGGTAAGGTCCCATAACATAAGTAATAACGTTTACTTAGTTACCATATATATTTGCGTATCATGCAACTTTTTAAGAACTACTTTTGAAGCCCTAATTTAAGGGTGTTGCATCATACACAATATATAAAATAAGCATATGTACTGCTGGCCCTGGTTACACCATTGACCAAACTATATATTCATTTGCTATAGTCAAATTAGTTTCAAAATTAGGTCTTCAAAGGTTGCATAATACACGAGTATATACTGCAAATAAAACCACAATATACACTGATCCCATTCTAAAATGGATCCTTTTTCAAATATTCAATCTGCACATATGACCGTTTAACTATATAAAATTTTAACTATTTAAATTTAATTTTAACTATTTAAATTTAATTTTTACTATTTACAATTTACATTAATAATAGTGGCTCTCTATTGAGAAATATAAAATATAATTCATTACTTGTTTGGTAAATTAAACTCATTATATATGGAGACAAATATTGAGAGAATAATAGACAGAGACACATATGAATATAGATAGATAGATAGATAGATAGATAGATAATGAACAATTTTAGATAGATAGGAAAATGAACACTCAGATACATAGAGGAATATGAACAGAATGAGATAGACAAATAGATATGAACAGTGTTATATATATATATATATATATATATATATATATATATATATAGAGAGAGAGAGAGAGAGAGAGAGAGATAGATAAGTTTAAATCTGGGCAGACAAGCATAACATATGAAGAAGGTGCAGGATGCCCATAACCTCCACCACTGATGAGAAGATTCAGCAAGTTCAAGAGATGTTAATGGCAAATCTGCAAGTTATCATTAATGAGGTAGCATGTTCTCTGTAGAAATGGATCACTACTCTTTGTTCCTTCTTGTGGTGCACTGATAGTAAAGCAGCCATGTTTACACTGTAAAGAGCAGCAGGAAAACTGGTGCAACCATGCTCAAACTTCTGTCATGTGACCGCAATAGTACCAAATATAAGCATGCATAAGCAGAAGGCAGTGCGGCAAACCTAAAGATATGTTATGGCAGAAGTTCAGATAAATTTTGACTTACCTTCATACATTAATACCATTCTAAAGTGGATCCTTTTATAAATGGTCAATCTGTACACATGGCAGTTTAACTATATAAATACTAAATATATAAATCTGTCTTGTCCACAGAATTGATCTGGGAATTTAACAATATTGTCACCATGGAAAAAAAAATTCCTTACTATAAAGGTAATTTACATTAACCAGAAATAAAAGCTTAGACAGAAGCATTTATCTTTTTAAATTTGGATTTTTTAATGTAACTATAACAACAAAAACATTTCGATTTCATTTTTGCCTTGAAAGAGTCGGAAGACAAAATACATTGGCAAAATCTAAGATTTTTTTTCTTTTTTCCAATTGTCATTTTATACCAATCTGTCTTGTCCACAGAATTGATCTGAGAGTTTAACTGATTCTTACAGCATTTATTTAATTTTTGCACCAAGGCAATTCTAAGAGAACTAAAAAGTCAGTTTGGAGAATTTGATACTCTGAGGACATCTTAAAGGCAAAAAGGGGGTAGAGAGAAACAGCAAGTAGACAGCCCTGTATAAATGGATGTTAGTACAGGGAATGGAAGGAACAGTGAAAAGACCAACATTGCTAAGAGTTACAAAGGATAAGGATTTGTGGAGAGCCATGATGGCCTATATCTTGATTTATATGGCATATACAAGAAGATTCTACATTGTTTTAGTCCTAATTTCATAAGTAAAGGAATGAGAATATACTGATGTGTTAGCCAAATTCTAGCTGAAGCTGATATATTCACTTTTGCACAAGTGCTCTTGAAATGGGATGAATCCATCACTTTTCTCTCCAGATGACAGAACTGTCTTCCATTGGTTATGAGCAGGCTAACTCTGAACTCAAAACCAGATAGGGATGAAACTAGCAAATCCACCAACTCACTGCAAAAACCACAGTAACATCAAGTAGCATGGTGAAGCATCAGCATTATACTTCATGGTGAGCTGTTTAATCTCTGTTGCAGATGTCTGCTTAATTACATTTGTGCTTCTTGTAATTGAATTCAATACCCACAGAACCAAACTATAGTTTAAACTGCATCTATGCTGACTGGACCTTATTTATAGTTTTGGGGAGAGAGCACATAATCTAGCATTTTTTTTCAGCAAGGTTCACTCTTTACAAGGTCTGTGGGCAACTCAAAGTAGTGGGTTATATTTGGTGGCCATTTGTGTGTATAAGAGGAGAAGGTAATGGTTAACCTTAGCCTTGAACTGGTTAAGATTATAGTGATCAGGGAAACACCATTTTGGGAGTTGGTTCTACAGGGTAGTATTTCATGGGAAAAAATACTCAAGTGGAACCTACTTCTCACTGATGGAATACAGAGGGAATGTGGGTGGTTTGCTACGTAAGTGGCATGGCATGTTCTTACTGAGAAGGTTTGCCTTGGCAGGAGCAGGGAATGTGGTTTGTCCGAGCACTTTCTGTGGAAGTAGTGGTAGAGCAGCAAGAGGCTTGCCTCATCAGTTTGAACTAGACCATGGTACTCAACACACTGTTGCATTCACTTTCACACTAATGATTTTGGGAAAGGCATGAATCCAGTTCTTCTCTACTCAGCTAAGGATTTAATAACAAGGGAAATGGGGCTCTCTAGCTAGTGTATGAGAAGAAAAACTCTTAATTCAGAATTGTGAAGAAAGCAATGAGAAACAACTTCATTATCTTTCTCAAGAAGTCATGGCAATTCACAGAGAATAAAGAACAAGGAAGCAGTGGAGAACTATGACTGCCTACATCTTAATGGGACATAGCATTAAAAAAGTAAATATTTTGATAATGTTGTTTACTTATTTAAATGGAATAACCACAATGTATAATAATCCCACTCTAAAATGGCACCTTTTACAAATTGTCAGTCTGTACATATCACAGTTTTTGATTGTCTAAATCATGTTAAACATGAAGACTGTTTATTATGCTAAAGAAAAAAACTGATCACTTCTCACCTTCTATACATAGGGAGCACATTATAAACAAAAATAAAATATAGTCACATATTTTTCATGCAAAAATACATTATATATGAGATCACGTGGTAAAGAAAATATTTGATCTAAACCTGAGTTTTCAACAGAGATTACCACGTTTAAATGATGTGTGCATTAACATTTATATTGTGTGTAAAAATCCAAGATAGCCAGTCAACAAATTGATACTAAAACATTTAAATATATGGTGGTTGCATTTACATAAAAGGAAGCTTTCTCGCTCTTAGCCCGAATGGCTTTTCTCGTTCAGTAAGTCTTGGATGAAATAGTTTTGGGGCAATGCCCAATGATCAACAACTTTCACGGAACATCTCTGACTTCTGCCAGCTTTTATTTTTATATCCTAGAGGCAACTGCTTATGTTTTGCCATGTTCGACTTGTCAGCATGCATTAATGGATAGATGAGTGTATGCGTATTTGAATGTTGGGAATTTTAGGGTTCATGACTTTCATTGGCATACATTCAAAATAACATTGTTTTTTTTATTAGAACACATTCTAAACACTTGGACATGTGCCCATGTATATGCATATATCAGTATTAGGAAAATTAATAACAAAGCAGGAAAAAATTATTTAGTAAAAACATTAAGTTATTTTTTCTGGTGAGGGATTTTTTTTTTTTTATTTGTGATTTTCAGCCACTTCCCAATGATGGCACATGCTGAGATCATCTCCCCGGGCAGATATTATGAACGAGTCATATCCTTTACAAATCAACTTGGGTCTCATAATTAGAACATATTCTAAATACTTGGCCATATGCCCATGTATATGCATATATCAATATTAGGAAAATTAATAATGAAGCAGAAAAAATTTTCATCATTTAGAACTGCATTGGGCTAAAGTGAAATTTAAGTTGATGTAACACACAAAGGGGAGGGGATGCTGAAAATTTTAAACTTTTAAATTTCAATTTAAAAATTTCAATTTTAAATAGATGTCTTGGGTATATAATTTAGTTTATTTCTCTTTTTGTTTATATATTTTTTTTATTTTTGTTATTATGTATCCCACATAGTGATAATAGAAAATCTGCCAAGAAAGGTGAAATGTAAAACCCTTGGTGCAAATGTACTGTGGATGATCTAGCAATTAAAGCACTTTCTATATATGCACCTCTTGCTTCCTATTTATACCTTTTTATACATCCTCATGACAACTTCATTTAGTAGCATATTGGGCCTTGTATAGGGTGAACAATAGTGTAAAAAGAGAGTGAATCAAGAATTTGCTTTCTGAAAATTTATTCTAATTTACATTTACCAGCAAATAATTACACTCTGTGTATAAATTATACTAGATTTTTGATCGACATCAATCTACAGATCATTTAAAAAATACTGGAGAAAAATTTAAGAACTTGAAAAGGTATGATGAATTTTTTACAAGTGAGAATTAGTTATTTTAGAACTTTTTACATGAAGAATTGTTCTTATTTGTCTATATTTCTGGGATGAGGTATTGTAACTGTTTACACTATTTACATTGTTTGGACTATTGTGCTTATCTTTATTGTCATATTCACAATGTTTTCGCTGCTGTACACTCCAGCCTTCTTCAAGTGTTATACATTGGAATTTCTAACCGAACCCGAAGGATAGATTGTTCTAGTTCCACTTGCCATGCCTTTTCAAGATGTCTCAGTTTCAGTTATTTTCTTTTAGTAACTCAACTCTGCTAGTTTTTGTTCACCACTGCTGTGGCCAGGTATTGAACTCACAACACTTTGAGTCAAGCCACTGGATTACTTCAACCAATGCTTTTATCCACCATGCCCTGTGTCCTTGGACACATGTATATCACTTGAGGAAGGCCGGAGTGTACAACAGCTGAAACATTGTGAATATGTCAATAAAGATGAGGGCAATAGTCAAAACAATGTAAATAGTTTAAACAAAATTGCTCTTATAGGATATATGGCTGAGTTAAAAACATTGGTCAGGTAGAACTAGTTACTTGACAGCTGTTGGTTGTTTTTGTTTAGATTTCAGCATTAAATAACCCATAGAGAGTGACATGCCATCAACCTCTATGGGTTATTTGATGCTGAAATCTAAATATTTTGTACACAGTTTTATTTAAACAATTTTTTTTATTGTGGTAATAATAGTTTTAGTGATACAAGCCTAATTAATCCATAGCTGGGGGAAGAAGAAATGGATTCATACCCTTCCCAAAGGCATTGGTGCACAAGTGAATATAATGAACCTGACTGGAATTGGAACTCTAATTTCCAATTAACAATTCCTAGCCATTATCCATTACACCACCCACAAATCCAAGCTTACAGTACCTGGTTTCCTAAACAGTCACCCATCTTTGTACTGACCAGGCTCAACATTGCTTAACTTTGGTGTTGGTAGCTGCGAGTTCAAAACTTGGGTCAGGTAGTGTAAAAAGTCATGTATATTCTGATTCAAGGACATCTATAAATACATCAGGATGATGTGCTTGGTCATATCATCAGTGATATAATCCTGAGATTTTTCAGGTCTCTCAACATCATCCCAGTTGACCCAGCTGATATCGATCAAATACCAACCTCTGGTCAGGTAGTGAGCCTTCAAACACCACTTCATGAACTATGATTACAACATGGTCAACTTTGAGGCTTTCTTATATACACAGCCAGCACATCCTCCAATCAAATTCTTTTCTGGACTCTCTTTTATCCATAAGAAAGGAAGAAGCCAAGTCACTTGTTTTCTCAATCCCATAGAGAAGGTTATGATTGCCCATTCTGCATTTTGACATGCAGGATGGATTAACTACAAGTAAATGTACTTCTTTGTCTTATCTTTTAAAATTAACTAGCAAGAATTTCCTCTAGAAAGGATAGGTGAATGAGTTTACTCCCATTGATTGAATAAAGGGCTTGGCTCAAAATTCCTTGAAGGTTGCTAACTCTGAAAGACAAAGGGTAGGCTAGAGGGTGTATCAGCTAAAAAATTGTAACTATAACAACCAAGATGATTGTTGGTTGTTTTTGTTTAATGGCGTATTGACCTCTACGGATTATTTAATGCTGAAATCTAAATATTTTATAATCAATTTTAATTTTATTTTTTTTATTTTTACTTTTTTATGAATAATGGTTTTAGTATAGTTGGAGAGAGAAGAGATGGATTCATATCTTTGCCAAGGTTATTTGCATGTAAGTGAACATGACAAAACCAACTAAAAATGGAACTCGGCTGTCCAATTAACAATTCCAAGGCATTATCCATTACACCAACTACACATCCAAGCTTGCAGCACCTGGTATTCCCAAGTGATCACCCACTTAGGTATTGACCAGGTTTGATGTTGCTTAACTTTGGTGATCATATGGGGATGAATGTTTCAATGTGATCTGGCTATAAGCCCAATCAAGATGAGGGCACTGGATTGAGTAAATCAGTGTATAATAATCTCGAAAAAGGGATTACCATAAACAAATATGATTCATGGAAGTACTGCACATAATTTGCAACAGCCAGATTCAGTAAAAAAAGGGAAGGCTTATTTAAATATGCACATGAACAACTTAGCCAATTAATAAAGATGATTTCAATAATTTCAGTTCAACAATGCACTTATGATCTAATTTAGCAACAGTTTATACTTCCATTGCATTAAGTGATCTGCTTTATCTATATATTGGCCCTAATATGCACATACATTAATACATCATGCATATGTATGCACATATACCCACACATTTAAATATGCATGCATGGTGGGTGCTGTAAAGTTTCAGTCATTCCTAAAATATAACCAAAAAACAGAATAAAAAAAACTGAATCCATTTTTACTTAGGCCAACAACTTCTTTGTATAAGCATAATTATGTTACTACCAACACAGATAGAAAAATATACCTATGCACTTGAACATATATGCAAATTGAGATATACATCACTGAACACATAAATATATATGCAATTTTTTTTAATCATTTCACCACAAGCAAGGTAGTAAAGTCACTAAGACACAAGGGGTTACTGAGTATGAAAGAATAAGAAAAAAGAGAAACATTATTAAGAAACAAGAACAATAAACGAATAGGAACCAAGAAAGCAGTAGATAGCAATTGACATTTCATTTAAATTTTTGAATATCAAAGTTAACTGGAAAGTATGAAAGTAGAAGAGGTTTCCACAAGCGAGAAAAAACTCTTAGCATAGAACTTATGGTTGCATCTCGCTAATTCCAATGTGAATATCTGAAACCTTGTTGACAATCTAGTTCCTCTATGTGCTGTGTAACTTCAGGATGTAGATGATCATGGCTCTCCACAATTTCCTGTCCTTAATTCTTCTATCCTTTTATTCAAACTCACTAAGTAGGTTATATGGTGTTTTCCTTTGTCCTTTTCTTTGTTTCAAACAAAATTTTCTTGTTTCTTAATACTCTGCTTAGCTTTCAGTATCCCAATGCACCTTCTGAGTTCAGTGTCGCACTCTCCGTCTTCTGTTAAAACACTTCCTGTATATTTAAATTTTACTACTTGTTTGATTTTTAGTTTCTCCAATTTGTGATTTGCTTGTTGGGCTGTTTATTTTTTGCTAACAATTGTGCATTTTGTCTTACTTGCAGCTGACATTTAGTCTTTTTTTCTTGTTTTCTTTCACTACATTCAGTAGGAGTTTTCGTGGTTTTCTTTCTGTGCGTCATGTCATCTGTATATCTTACGTTATTAAGATTGTGGCTGCCAATAATGAATAATTCTCTCAGAATCGCCTCAAAGTTGCCTCTCTGTACCTTTTCTGTAAATACTTTCATGGTAATTTTTTGGATGAGTTCTTCAGTATTACTTTATGTATTTAAATGCAGTACTAAACTGTCGACAAAGTCTCAGTTTACAACTGAGTTGGCTAGATGCAACCGTAAATTCTATGGTAACAGTTTCTTTTCTCATACTTCTTGCCTGTGGAATTCTCTTCCCAATTCAAGCTTTCCAGTCAACTCTAATCTTAAAAAATTTTAAATGTAATGCTATCTACTGTCCTTCTGATTACACTTCTATTGTTCTTGCACCTTAGTAATGTTTCTGTTTCAAATTCTTCCCTCCCAGTAGCCCTTATGTCTTAGTGGCTTTACTCCCTTACATGTGGTGAACTTGATTGAAAAAAAAATGTAAGAGACTAACAAACAAGTGAACATTGTATTTTCCTTATCTTTCCACTAATAATCACAAAAGTATTAACTCTTACAGCTGATTCCCCTAAAACCTTTCTACTGGCTCCAGATTGAAGCAACAACTAACATGGATTTTTGATAAATACTTGTACAAACACATACACTGGAAAATGTGCATATGTCTTTGTAGTGAACAGGTTCAACATTTTCAGGTGTTTTTCTTGTTTAATGACTTCTAGGATATAGATCACTTTCAATGGATTCACAACTTAATCTCAAACATTGACACCATAATCTTATTTGAGCACCACTCATTGGATTATTCCGAAAAACCTTCTTTGTCAAATAATTTCTGTGGAAAATCTTCATGTACAATCGCTAATCTACTCATTAGGCCATTATAAATGAGACAATAACATAATACTAAAGAAAACTCAATGCCATTTTACTGCCAAATGAGTAACCTAATGGGAGTGTTTCTGTTCACACATGTGCAGTAAGGTTCCCTCTGAATAGTCACCAACTTATATCAAGGTCAAACAACATTTGAGAATGCAAAGTCTATCCATTAATAAAATATGTATATAAATATATTCTTCTATCATATGCACTTTAAATCATAAATATAGCTTAAAACTATATATATATGCATGTGTGTTTGTGTGTGTGTACGTGTGTGTGTATGTGTGTGTGTGTGCAGGTGACATAATATACAAATTGATATATCAAACTAAACATCTTTCTTTATATGCTATGACCCTTCAGGACGTTGGTGACCATGGCTCTCCATAACTTACTGTTTGTTGTAACTCTTAAAAATTTTATCTTTTTGCCTTCTTTCCTAAACCCTGTTCTTCCATCTATTTACACAAGTTTCTCTAGGTAGGTTATGTGCTGTTGCAGCCGACAAAAACAAATAACACACATGAGTGAATTTAAAAAATGTAAAATGGTGACAATTTGACTATCCCAATGCGCCTTCTGATTCCAGTATTGCACTTTCCGTCCTCTGTTAAAACACTTCCCTTTATTTAAATATTACTACTTGTTTGATATTTGGTTTCTCCAATTTGTAATTTTCTTGTTGGGCTGTTCCTTTTGCTACCAACTGTGCATTCTGTTTTATTTGCAGCTGACATTTAGTCTTTTCTTCTTGCTTTCCTTCACTACATTCAGTAGGAGTTTTCATAGTTTTCTTTCTGTGCATCATGTCACCTGTATATCTTAAATTATTGAGATTGTGGCTGCCAATAATGATTGCATATAGTGTTCCAGAAAATCAACTCTCTTCTTCATCTTTGAGGAGATTGTCCAGCATATACAGAGTGCAGCAAAAGTACCTCCCACATATATATAAATTGAAGCACATGCCTCCCACACCCACATAATGGTAAGACATTAACTAGATGAAGACACCATTGTCTCTAATGTATTAAGATTATGTGGGTAGTATTTCTGGGAGGTGCATGCAGGAGCTATTTCTGCCGCACCCTGTATATATATATATATATATATATATATATATATATATATATATATATATATATATATATATAATATACAACATACATATACATATATATATATATATATATATATATATATATATATATATATATATATATATATATAAGCAGGTGCTTCACACAGTATAACTGTGCATGAGCATGCATGTATCTGTGCATACAGACATTAATTAATGTGTTCATTTATAAAAATATGCACACCTAAAATAATAAATAAACAAAGAAAAGTGTTCACATATGTACACACATACATTACAGGCCAACCACATTCTGTTTTTCACAAATGAAGCTGTATATTCACCATCCCCAATCCGTTAAAGATGTTGCATTTTGATAAGAACAGTCAGAACTTCTTTTGCACACATACAAAGACTACTTCGTTTTGCAAATTCATAAACACCAGCAAGTGCACTCTACCACCATTCTAGATCAACACAGGACCTGCCCTACACAACGCAAAGTCTTCAATGAAGAATAAAAATTAAAAAAATCAATTGTTTGTAACTATTTCTTTTTCGCTTCTTGTTCTTTCGTTCGTTCATGTTCTTGTGACTAGTTTTGTGAAGTGTGAGCCTGTTTATTTCCTTGTTGTAAATTTCACAAATTATCTGGGAGTTGCTTGTTGCTGGTAATTTTCAAAGAATCAATAAATATACAAGCCACTGTTGTTTTCCAAAGTCTATTCATTACTGAAATAGGCGAGTGGACAACAAGAGAGAGAGAGAGACAAGTAAAATAAAAAGAGAGAAATAAAAGAAAAGAGATAGAAATAAAATAAAAGAGAGAAGAGTAAAATAAAAGGGATAGAAGTAAAATAAAATAGAGAGAAGTAAATTAAAAAGAGAGAAGTAAAATAAGGGAAAGAGAGAGAGAAATGAAATAAAAGACAAATAAAATAAAAGAGAGAAAAGTAAAATAAAAAATAAAAATAAAATAAAAATGATAGAAGTAAAATAAAATAGAGAGAAGTAAAATACAAAGAGAGAGAAGTAAAATACAAGAGATAAAGGTAAAACAAAAGAGAGAGAGAGAGAGGTAAAATAAAGGAGAGAAAAGTAAAATAAAAGATATAGAAGTAAAACAAAAGAGAGAAGTAAAATAAAAGAGCAAAAATAAAACAAAAGAGATAGATGCAAAAAAAAGAGAGAGAAGTGATGTAAAAAGAGAGAGAAGTAAAATAAAGAGAGAGAAGTAAAACAAAAGAGAAAAAAGTTAAGCCATAGAGAGAGAAGTAATGCAAAAGAGGGTGGAGTATAACAAAAGAGAGAGAAGTAAAATAAAATGGAGGAGAGGACCTTAACAAAAATTGACATCATTAAGTCTTCTCTTACCATTCTCTTTCACACTCTGCTTGTTTCAGGCATTCTCTATATTTTTTAATATTTTGTAACTCATCACACACACATGTGTACACATACATATAATTAAATCACAAAGTCTACAAACTAATGATGTTAAAAGTATTTATTTTACACAATAAATGTTAATTCTTGAACATAATCTCCTTTGTCAATGCACTTAATTCAGTGCCAAATATTAATCCCTTACCTTGTTCATTATAATATATACAGTGGAAATTTCAGATCAAAATTCAGCTAACAACAATATTTCAGGTAAAAAAATTACAGATTCACCCTCCTTTATAAGTATACGTACAAGGTTTCACTGAAAAGTTCTAAGACCAACCCACTCACAACTGACCAGATGAGTGAAAAGAATTTTTGGGAACCTCTTCTTCATGTGTTGATAAGTGTTCAGCGCATTTTGCTTTGCGCACACAAATACACACGCACCTCCCCCCCCCTATATATATATATATATATATATATATATATATATATATATATATAGATAGATAGATAGATAGATAGATAGAATATTATGGATTAATATCCTCCTTGGAATTATCCCTACTAGTCACAAATTCGTATTATATATATATATATATATATATATATATATATATATATATATAAATATATTTTTTCTAATTAAGTTCACCCCAAGCAAGGCATTAAAGCCACTGGGATTACTGGGTGTGAAAGAATTAGAAAATAGAAACATCACTAAGAAGCGAGTCCAGAAGACTAATCAGGAGGACAATAGATAGCAATTGACACTGCATGTAAATTTTTGAAGACACTGAATTTAAATCTTTGAAGATTAAAGTTGGCTGGAAAGCATGGAGCTGGAAGGGAGTTCCACAAATGAGAAGTGCAAGAAAAGAAACTGCTAGCATAGAACTTACAGTTACATCTAGCAAATCTATACAGGATTAATATTCAGAAAAGAGGTAACTCTTTGCTTTTAAATTTCCTTAAAAATCACTTAATCACCATTGCCTAAAGAAATACGATCATAGTATTGAAACATGAAAGCTTTTGTGTAGCAATTTCAACATGTTTTTGTTATAATCTCTTATAATAAAAATAATATATATATAAATATATATATATATATATATATATATCTGTGTATGTGTGAGTGTGCAATTTGATGCATAATTGATATCAATTTCAGCATTAACTTCATACATATATATTATAGTATTATAATATATTATATCATATTAATATATATGAGTTGTATATGTTAGTGAGATGCTCAAAACAATATTTGCACTGTGTGTGTGTGTGTGTGTGTGTGTGTGTGTGTGTGTGTGTGTGTGTGTGTGTGTGTGCGTGCGTGCAGGTGTGTGTGTGTGTGTGTTGAATATTGTTTGGATTGTGATTAGATTGTTATGGTATGAGATGTACATATTTTAAAACCGCTAATATTCCTTACATTTAGTTTCAGAAAAGTATATTTTATTTTTGAATGATTTTTTTTTAAAAAGAGAATTATATTGAGAAGTTGCTTCCACTATTTCGGCATAAATTTCCGATACCTAAAGTTTAATATCAATTTTTAAAATATATCACTTCAGCTTTTGAAGATGTACAGCACATATAAATCCATCTCATAGCATAATAATCTAATCACAATCCAAACAATCTTCATTTAAGAAGAAAAATTTTTGAATATTACTCACCCACTTTACTTTTCACTAGACTTAGGACATTTTGTGACCTCCACATGCTTTGACTGACCTTTCAATCACCTGGTGAACATTCATGAACATTCTCAAATTTACAAGCCTTGACAAAGAAATTACATCCTCACCTCTGTGTATATAAATAGATGCAGCATAATAAATCCTACATTGCCTTGATAAGGACCCTTGGAGGACAAAACACATTGGCTAAGTGTAGTTTATTCCACTTCTTACTTTTTTATTCATATATATATATATATATATATATATATATATATATATATATATATATATTGTTGGGCTGTCGGTTTCCTAGAAACTGATCTACTTGACCCTCATACGTCAAATTCGATGGGAAAATCGAGTATATATATATATATATATATATATATATATATATATATATATATATATATATTTGACTCTCCCATCATATATGCCGTACGAGGGTCAAGCAGCTCAGTTCCTAGGAACCGAAAGCTAGACACCAGCACATATGATTTGATTATAGTGATGAAGGCTTTGTGCAGAACCATCAACACTTTTTGAAGGGCCAAATACAGAGACCTGGTGCACTATGTACCACAAGGTCCCCAAACGCACCTCTGTAGGTCTTAAATTCAGAGTTGTCCTTCTCCTAGACCAATTGCCATTCAAGGCTAAAGGATCCAGTCTGTCCTGCTATTTACACATAGCTGGAGGGAGAAGAAGAGGATTCATACCTTTCCAAAGAGTATTAGTATGTAAGTCAATGTAATGAAGATATATGTACATATATATAGATATATATATATGTGTGTGTGTGTGTGTGTGTGTGTGTGTGTGTGTGTGTGTGTGTGTGTAAATATATATGTATATGTATATAATCGAATCTGAAAAAAATGCTACTATAATTAAAAGAGAAGGAAAATCATTAAGACAAAAGTGTATAAAAAGTGCTTTAATCACTTGATCATCCACAGTAAATTTGCATCCAGATTTTGACAAGAATTCACCTTTCTTAGCAAATCTCCAATTATCACAATGTTGGATACTTAATAACAAATGTGATGAAAATGTAAACAATAAGAAAATAAAAGTAAATAAAATTGGTTATTTTTAAGCACATATAAATAAAAATAAATAAGTTAAAAGTTTTAAATTTCTTTATCCCTGCACCTTCATGTGCATGTTTAGTTACTGAATGTAAATATCACTTTAGTCCAATTAAATCCTAAAGAATGAAAGGTGTCACACAAAAAATTTCACATTTTGTCATTATTTCCCCTAATATATATGGAAATTATTAGGAGGATTTGATAATTATATATAATTAATTCATTGAGTCTGATAGAGACCGCAACAGAATGCCGAAAGCACTGGACAGCCATTTTGTCCTATATTTGGGACTCATCAGCAGTGCACATCCACTACCAAGAATTGAAACCCTGACAGTTAGGTTGTCAAGCAAACATCATACCAACTGTTCCAATGGGCCTCAGTGACAAAGAGATTGAAAATCAGACTCAATATAGCACTGCTTGCTCACATATTCCGTGGTGAAACTCTTACTGCGTTCTCTGTAATCATAGGACTGTGCCCCCTGGAGCCACGACTACTTTCACCAAGCCACTCACTCTAGAGCATTAGAAGCTGGTTCAAGCAATGATATACATAGATGGAAATTATTAGGAGAATTTGCTAATTATATCAATTGACAACCTAACTGTCAGGGTTTCAATTCTCGGTAGTGGATGTGCACTGCTGATGAGTCCCAAATATAGGACGAAATGGCTGTCCAGTGCTTTCTGCATTCTGTTGAGGTTTCTATCAGACTCAATGAATTAATTATATATATATATATATATATATATATATATATATATATATATGTGTATGTGTATGTACCTTTTAGAATTAATATTTATTAGTCTGACAGATTTGTATCACTTTAAACTTTATTTTTAGTGAGTTCTTCTACTTGAGTAGGTGTTCCATTTGTTTATTATACAGTATATTTATATAATTTTACCTACCTGCCTGAATATTCAAGAAATCTTATTAAAGAAGAATTATCACCCTTAAGCATTAATTGAACCTGCATCTCTCAGAGCAGATGGATCAAGCTTGATTTAGCCTGCCACACATTACTGCTTGTCCACAAAAGAACAGACAGTTAGGCAAAGTCAGTTTCATGTTTTGCAAGTGAAATTTCTCCAGTCATAAAATTTCTCAAAGTTTTTTTTCATATCTGCACATAGTTTCATATACGAATATAAACAAAGATAATTTTTAGAATGGATTTTTATTAATCTGATAGATTTGTATTACTTTAAGGGTAGGTGAAAATAAATAAATATACAGTTTAATAAATAAATTGAACACAAACTCAAATATGAGTATACACTAAAATAATGTTTACAGTGATACAAATATATATATATATATATATATATATATATATATATATATATATATATATATATATATATATATATATATATATAATGATAATGAGAAGATGGAGACTTTAATTATCCATAATGAAATGCATAATTAAAGTCTCCATCTTTTATTATCATTATAATGCTCTGTAGTCTACATTGAGCTCTCCCTGGATTTATATCCACCTCGGAATTATCCCTTCCAGTCACAAACTGGTAAAACATATAACTATACATATATATATATATATATATATATATATATATATATATATACATACACACACACACAGAAAGAGAGAGAGAGACATGCGTTAGACATTGTAAATTATTTTGTACCATATAAGAGATAACAGATACCAAAAGGAAACTACAAGAACTCCTACAGAAGGGATGTGAAGGAAAGCAAGAAGAAAGGACTAAACATCAATTGCAAGAAATTAAAATGCAGAGTTGTCAGTAAAAGGATGAACCCAACATGCAGATTACAAATTGGAGATAACAAAATCAAACTAGCACAAAAATTTTAATTTCTCCTGAAGTTTTTTAACAGAGGATGGAAATTGTGACACTGAAATCCAAAGCTGCACAAGGATAACAAAAGATGCCTTCCAAAAGCTAAGCAAATATTAAGAAATATATAAATTTCATTACAAACAAAGGAAAAAGTACTGAACTGTTATGTTATATCAGTCCTCCTATATGGCAGTGAATGCTGGACAATCTCCTCGCAGATGAAGAAAAAGTTGGTTCTAGGGAAGGATTCTATGAATACCATAGAATGAACATATGAAGTTTTAGAGAAAAAGGTAACAGAAAGAACATATATTTATACTTATATGAAGAGTGTTGAAATTTC